TACGGCCTCTCTTATTTTCCGTTCCTGGTGTTTTTCCCACATGAGGCTAGTCCTATTGCGTTCCAGTCAATTGTGTGGCCGGTAGCGGCGATGTGTTTAGCCATCTCCGATCTTTCAGTATCCATTTTTCTGCATAGTCACTGGTCTTTGTTCCTTCTGCTGATTCTCCTTCCTGTCTCTTCGATATATTTTTGTGTACAGTCGTTGCAGTTTATGCCGTAAACTCAGGAACACTCCATTTTGTTGACCTCTTCATGCTGTGTAGGCAAGCTTGTGAAAAAGATTGTCCTTTCCTTCAGGATTGTACGAATGCTCCATTTCCGTAGTATCAGCCATAGCTTCCGAGCCAATTCGCAGGAGGTTAGACATATCCATCGTTTTTATCTGTTACTCTTGCTCTTCTTCCATAATCTGGTAATAACGAATACTATGACAGAGTACATGGGATTAGGTACGTTCCGCAAGGTCTCCCCGACGCTCCGACCAGCCTGCTAAAATCTTGATTATTTGACCCTATTAGCATGTAACTTTACCCCTTAAGCTAAAAAATGGTTGGTTCAATATTTATGAGCATTTCATTTTCGTATAAGCTCTGGACATTGTTACTCGAATCAGCCTTATCTGGACTTTCAGTTTTTTGGCTCAAGTTAGCCCAGGTCTTTTGACCATTTTGCTTTCCAAATGACAACTAATCATTTACGCGAGATTACAGCTTTAAATTCATATTTAAAATGTTCTGCCTCTGTGTCTAGAGCAGTACTTTAACTCGTGCCTTCAGTTATGCATCATTAAATTTTTTCACGTTTTTATAACCAGTAATTCATATTTTACAAAGGAATATTTAATTTTTATTGCTTTTTTCTCATATATCTTCCAGGCTCCTCGCACTCCACTGCAACGCAGTATGGACCGATTAGGCAAGCAACTGTCAGCAATTTCTATCTCTGTCATCATAATTATTATGTTAATCGGACTCTTCCAGAAACGTGGCGTTCTCGAGCTCTTTGTTATCGGTGTTAGGTCGGTATTCCTTCCTAGCATAAATGTTAATAAACTCCTATATTATTCCCTCATATCTTTCTCTATTTCAGCTTGGCTGTTGCTGCTATTCCCGAAGGCCTTCCTATAGTGGTAACTGTTACACTCGCCATAGGTCAGATGAGGATGGCTGCTAGAAACGCCATCATCAAGAAGTTACCTGCTGTAGAAACGCTTGGTGAGTTTAAATTGACTATCGAAGTTTTTATCCGTTCATAGCCTCGGAAAATATACGATTATACATTAATTTCGTAGTCTATGGAACTTATAATTGTGTCAAGAAGACTGCTTACATCTACAAGATTAAAATTTAATCCATTTTAGCTCCGATAATTCATATTGCGGTCAGCCTTGCTGCTTAGTTTGATAATGTTTATGAAGACGAGGATTGTATGAGCCTTGGTTTTTTCGCAGCCTCCTTTCTGCCTGTAGACTTGAATTGAACTCGTTTACCAAATCTAGTCGTCATTTAAATGTTACTTAGAAAAATTTGTCTCGTGCTCCATCATATGGAATAGTTTTCAGTTATTTTTTCAGCAGCTTTCTTTTTTTCCTTTTTTTATTACCTTACCCATTTCTGTTTACCACACAAATGATGACAGTTTTCCTTCTTTTTATCCTGGCTACAATCACGGCATTTGATAGAAGCCATGAGATTGTGTTATAGCATTCACATTCTTTCCTTTGAAAGTGCATCCACTTCGGTCATTGACATTTTCCTTCCGGATGAATAATTGTAGTGTATTCGATCTTATGCGACTGGTTTATTAATTCAGCTTTCTTCCCTATCCTCGTTTTTTCGATACGCTGCCACCACACTACAATGCTACATGTATTCCTGGGTCACAACGGAGACGTGAATTTGAAGGAAGACCAGGCCTGCAGCCCACCTTTGATTGATACTACTTTCTGGGAAACAAGACTAAGTGAAATTCGATGGAACCATGAGGCTCAATAATATCAGATGTATTTACTCAATTTCGTTTAAGGTGATGAAGGATTGGTAGAAGAAGAATTTTCCCACAATTATATGAGTAGAGCTGACGTTTCAATTCAATTTCACATAGCCTTGCTTTCCCAAAAGTTGTTATCCTCCAGGCACCAGTGGACGGCAGTTTCGACCTCGCATTGGTCTTATCAACACCCTCAGCGGGGGTCGAACCGCGACAATGCAGCATGGGAGCTTGACACGCTAACCACTCGGCCACACTGCCACGAGCGCCTTTTGGGTCACAGGGCAAATGCGAATTTTAAAGGAAGGCCAGGCCTTTTTGTCATATCATATTCTTTGGTGGGATTGTCGATGAAGCAAACGTATATTTGTTATAACAATCGACTACTATACTTTATTTTTCGCATCAAGTATTGTTTCGAGACTATAAGTAAATCAGTATTATGAGATGTATTCACCCAATTTCGTTTAAGGTGATGAAGGACTGGTCGAAGAATAA